CACGACGCTCTTCCGATCTGTGGGGCCATATCTCCAGTGATACAGCTGACCCATCTGGCGCGAGTGGTGGTGGATCCATCGCCCACGGTCCAATCGAGCGGCACTGTAGGTTTGGAGCGCATCTCGAAGTGCCTCTTTCAACGCCTCGCCGCTCAATGCCTTCTGCTGTACCGATTCCAAAAGCGTGCAGACCACCAACGCGTCTTCAACACCGGTGCAAGCGCCGACTCCCAGATATGGCGTGCTGGCGTGCGCGGCGTCACCGACGAGACATGCACGACCTCCCGCATACGTCGGTGGAGGGTTTGCCTCCAGATCAAAGATTCCCCACTTGACGACCTTCTCCGGATAGAGCTTCCAGATGTCGGCGACCTGTGGACTCCAGCCATCAAATAGCTTTTGAATCTCGGTTCTGTCGACATGGACCGTCATTTTGTCGGGGTCGGGAAACTCGGCTTCTTCGTGAGCGAACACGGCCATGTTGAGAAGTGTGCCGGACATGACCTGTGGCAGTTAGCAATCTTGAAGCGAACAGGTGGAGGAAGATGATGCACAAACCGGGTACACGAGCAGATCAGCGTTGGGGCCCAAGTGATTACACGCGCTCTTCGCCACCTTCTCGCCCAGAGCCTTGATGCCCAGCTCAATGGGGACCATGGTGCGGTAGGCCACGGTGTGACTGAAACCAGCACGGCTGGCTGGGTGGTCGGCGCCCAAGAGAACTGCACGCGTGACGGAGTGGATGCCATCACATCCCAGCAAGACATCGGCCTCGGCGGTAGTGCCGTCAGCGAAATGCAGGACGACGTTGCCGCTCTGCTCGTCGTCGATGTAGTTGAGAAGCTGCTTGCCAAAAACGGCCGCTCCCTCGGGCAACAAGTCTGCCATACCCTTCAGGAGTTGCGAGCGAACGCAGCCCCAGAAATCGAGATTATTCACTGGGATGCGGAAAAGAAGCGATTTGGACTCGTCTTCGGCATCCTCTTTTGTCCGGGGGTGGTAAGCGTTCCAGTAGGCGTTGCTGCTGGCGGCGTCTGTCTTCTGGCTGATGTTTGCAAGGAGCTCGACGAGAGCCGGATCGATCTGCTGCATCCATTCTCGCGCGGCGCCGGTGAATGCCATACCGGCGCTGACCTCATGCCAGGTTTGTGCTCGCTCGTAAATGATTGCGTGAATGCCGCGGCGTCGCAGACCGATGGCGGTCATCACGCCGATAATGCCACCGCCCACAACGGCGACGTTAAGGGGACGCGCAGAGCCATTGGCATTGCCATTGATATTTTTGCTTGCCATGGTGGTTTTGTGGTGGTTGACGCAAGGTTAGCGGACGTGGAAAGACCAGCTCGGACGAGGTTATGTGTGTATAGAAGAATTGAGGAGAAGAGCGAGAATAGGCGAATAGGCGACACAATAGCCAAGATGCCAACAAACAAATAAACAAAGAGTTCACTCGCATTCAGAAGTATGAATGGGTAGATATTTGTTGTGACTCCTACTCCTGACGCCGGACTTTCTATCCCCCTAGCCCTCCTCAACCACCACTGTGCTCCCCCCGGACCGAGGACCGCTGCATTTCCCATTATTATTCACTGGGTCCGGGAGCCATGGAGGTGCACAGCCCCTGTTGCCCCTACAATTATGTCCAGCTGGTCAACGATAGAGGGAGAAAGGAGACGGCTTATCTCTGAGGAGCCAGATTTGAACGCCAGATTCAGAATTGACGTCGAAAAGAAGAAATGTTTATTTTCGCGCCTTTTAGTCTTGGCGCCAAGTCTCTACCAAATCTTTGCCCACGTTTTTCAATTGCCTTCTATGTACTTCTAATATGGATTTACGACGCAGTGAGCGCGCTCCAAAGCCTCGAACCATACAGGAATATGGGAACGAATGTGGGAACAGAAAGACACACCTTCTACCGCTTCAGACCCAAAATAAGCTAAAAGCAAAGAGCAAAAAGTTCAGCTCGTAAGCGCCCCAGGGAGCTCGACAGGGGTCTCCAGGTCATTGGGAGGCTGTAGGCTATGTAACGTCGACTTATGCCTGAAATAAGGCTGTTTCGAAAGCTACCATTAGCTGAAATACCTGAAATAGATATCTCCAACCTCAGGGCCATAGGAGGTAGAAGTTTGGGTGCATGGGGTGTACAGTGTTGGGTGTAGGTTTGGCACCAACACCAAAAGGCGCTAAAAATCAAACATTTTCCGATAGCGCGAGGGATACTCCGTGTGACGTAGTACGTACTAGTAGTTTCTGCGAGTCATGCCCAATGTTGCAATAGGGCTTCTATTTACGCGAATACGCGGATACGCGGAGCCTCATCAGCGGGCTGATGGGCTAGTGCATTTGCCACGTGCATATCAACGTCACGTCAACGCTGCGACCCTGGAGCCAGTATTATTATTATTAATCATTGACCAAGGATACTCCGTCCTAGGCCGCCAAGTCGCTTACTATGTAGTTAGTATGATGTGGGCCTTGGCGCCTAGAGAGCCATTCGTCCGAACTTTTTGCATCTTAGATTTCTAGTTAGCTACACACCACCAATTGAGATTCAGAGTCATAGCGCTCCAACGTCCAGGAAATGCCATGTTTTACTATTCTTAGAAAGCTTTCGGAGTTCTGTCCAAGCAAGCAATCGAATCAGAGCGCTTGTTTTCCTTCTACAGCCTTATCCGCATCTATTATATTCCATGTTCCATATTCCATACTCCATACTCCCGGACGGGATCCTGTATCAGCGATCCTGTTCAGCTGTTCATCTGGCCACAGCGGCCGTTTCCCTTTTCCCTGCACAAGAGTTTCTGCGGTTAGATAACAAGGCCCCAATGATGACTATGCACATGGACAAGACAGTAATTCCAAGATATCATTCCCGTTATAAAACAAGAGCAGACGATGCCTTGATTTATTTTTGAGAATGATTCTGACCAACATACATTCATCATTCATGTCCTTGGCCCTTTTCTGTGATTGCTCCTCTATTCACTCAATTTATTAGAACCATATATGATTTGGATCCACGCGACTGAACGTTCAATCGTTCAAAGGTTATCGTCTCTTGGTTTGGAAATTCAGTCGCCCCCCTTTCATCGCATTCCATACAGACGCCACATCCAATAACCATCATGTCATCCACTCAGTCTCCCTCCATGTCAGCCGTCCGGGATGCGACGACCTTTGTTTTCGGCGGACACATCGGACCACAGAGTAAGAATTCACTGGAGAAACGAGTACGGCAGATAGTCCAAGGACCAAATGGGGACTGGATCCTTAAGACGATTGCCGGCTTGCCACGGTACTGGGACGCCATGACACAGAAGATGCCCGAAGTCGGTCGGTCAATGGAAGGTCCTCGTCTCCTGGCCGAACTGGTGTCGTGGTTTCGAAATGGTCCGGAATCGGTCACGACACTAGCTCCAGATGCGGAGATCCCAGACCTGTGGATCGGAGTTCTCATGGTTGCTATCCAGCTGGATCAGTACTGTCGTTACCTCGAGTGTCGATTCATTGGGACTGGAGTCGACGATCTACAAGCAGAGCTGGTGAAACAGCAACAGCAGCGACAGGCTGGCGGAAGTAACAAGGTCGAAATGGTGGGATTCTGCGCGGGTATGATTGCCGCCGTCGCCGTCGCCAGCTCCCACAATGATGAAGAATTTCGAAAGTACGGTGCCACGGCGATACGCGTCGCAGCGTTGATGGCCGCCCTGGTCGGTGCCACCGAGGAATGGACTAAAAAGGCCGGTAAAGGCGGATCTGTCTCCTTGGCCGTCGCGTGGAGGACGGCCAAGCAAGGCGATGATATGACCCGCATCGTCTCGAAACTGTCTCCGGACGCCTACGTCTCTGTTCTTTTCGACGCGTCTCGTGCCACCGTCACCGCGTCGGAGCGAATCGCGCCAAAAGTCGTCCGGCAGCTTCGGGCAGCGGGTGTCACCGCCCTGCCTCTCGCGTTCAAGGGTCAGCTCCACGCTCCTACAGAAGAGCGGGCACGCTTCACCAAAGCGCTCATCGACGTTTGCCACTCAATTCCTGAGCTGCAATTCCCGAACGCTGCCGAGCTGGCTTTGCCGACTTACCTGGACCATCCCGAGGGGAACCAAGTCTCCGGCGATGAAGACGACTTGGTCGCCATGGTCTTGCGCTCCATATTGGCGAATCAGTTGAATTGGACTAGCACCGTCTCGAAGCTCGCATCGAACAAGAAAGACATCTCTATCGTTGCCTTTGGACTCGATCGTCCTTTGCCACCCACCATTCTGCGCACTTTCGGTTCAAACCAAGTCCAATTCGAAGACATCGAGGAGCCTCGACAACCTCAAGACCAAGACAGAGTAAAGAAATCGGAAACTGTCGAACCAATCGACGTCGCCCGTCCGAGCGCTGCCATAGCCCCGCGGGAAGAAGATCTTGAAGACATCATTGCCGTTGTCGGCATGTCTGTCAAGGTCGCGGGTGGGCAAGATCTCGAAGAATTCGAGCAGATGCTCAAGACCGGAGAGTCGCAGCACCAAGTCATCACGCGCGAGCGTATGACTCCGGACTCGTTATTCCGCGACAAGGCCGACCCGGAGAGAACATGGTACGGCAATTTCATGCGCGATGCCGATGCTTTCGATCACAAATTCTTCAAGAAGAGCCCGCGTGAGTCCATGGCCATCGACCCGCAGGGCCGCCTTTCGCTCGAGGCCACCTACCAGACTCTCGAACAGGCTGGCTACTTCCGTGAGATGGCTACGACTAGCCCATCTGAACATGAAAGACGGAAACATGTCGGGGTCTATGTCGGCCTCTGCTCCTACGAGTACGACGTCAACATCCATTGTCACCCGACCAGCGCCTTCACAGGCACCGGAGAGCTGAGGAGTTTCATTCCCGGCCGCGTATCGCACTACTTCGGATGGACCGGTCCTTCGCTGACCTTTGATACGGCGTGTTCGTCATCGACCACCGCTCTCCATTGGGCTTGCCGCGACCTGCTGTCCGGCGAAGTCCCTGCGGCCTTGTGCGGTGGAGTCAATGTCCTGACCAACCTACAATGGACACAGAACCTGGCTGCGGGCAACTTCATCAGTCCTACTGGACAATGCAAACCATTCGACTCTGCTGCTGACGGTTACTGCCGCGGTGATGGCATCGCCTACGTCTTTCTGAAGAAGCTCTCCACCGCTGTAGCAGATGGCAACAACATCTTGGGCACCATCCGCGCCACGGGTATCAACCAGAACCTCAACACGACTCCTCTGTTTGTCCCCAACGTGCCCTCTCTGTCGACACTCTTCAACCAGGTGATCAGCAAGGCGCGCGTCAACCCGTCTGACATCGGGCTTGTGGAATGCCATGGCACTGGAACACCCGTGGGCGACCCTGCCGAGTGGGAAAGCATCCGCAAGGCTGTGGCGGGTCCTCGGCGCGATACCGTCTTGCCCATTGGCTCGGCCAAGGGGCACGTCGGGCACACTGAAGGCGCCTCTGGGCTTGTCTCCCTGATCAAGGTGCTTTTGATGATGAGAGGCAATTTTATCCCTCCCCAGGCTAGTTTCAAGAGCATGAACCCCAATATCCACGCCCAGCCGGCCGACCACATGGAGGTGGTGACGGCGTTGCGATCGTGGCCAGGGGACCGCAAGCTGGCTCTGCTTAACAACTACGGTGCATGCGGATCCAACTCGAGTGTGGTGATCGCTCACTCGGCACCCAAGAAGTCTGCATCCTTCTTAGCCAAGGCTTCCGCTCGATTGCCGTTCTGGATCTCAGGCCTCGACGCCCGCAGTATCGCCGCATACACCACCGCACTAGCCCCGTATCTTCGCAAGTACGCCGGGCTCGAGGAAGGCCAAGCTGGGCTTGCAGACGTGTCGTTTAGTATGAACTGGCAATCGAATCCCGGCTTGCCCCAAGCCCTGATCTTCAGCTGTAGTTCCTTGAACGAGCTACAAGACAAGCTTGCCAAAGCAGCCGCAGCTACCAAGGACACAGCTTCAAGCATTGGCATCGCTCCGGTGAAGGCTGAGCGACCAGTGGTTCTGTGCTTCGGAGGCCAGGTCTCAACATTCATTGGTCTCGATCGCGCTGTTTACGAAAGTGCCACCGTATTCCGACATCACCTTGACCAGTGCAATGCCGCCATCACTGCTCAAGCCTTAGACAGCATCTATCCCGACATATTCTCTGCCGAGCCTTATGAGAATGTCGTCAAGCTCCAGACCGCTCTCTTTGCCATGCAGTATTCGGCGGCCAAGGCCTGGATCGACTGTGGGCTCACCGACAAGGTAGTCTCTCTCGTGGGCCACAGCTTTGGCGAGATTACTGCACTCTGCGTAGCGGGCGTGCTGAGCCTCGAAGATACCGTGAAGCTCATTGCTGGTCGCGCCAGGTTGGTGCAGACTGCTTGGGGACCTGACTCTGGTGCCATGATGGCAATTGAGGCCGACGAAGCTCTTGTGCATGATCTCTTGAAGGAGTCGAACCTCGCGTCTGACGGAACGGCCGGCATCGCATGCTATAACGGTCCTCGCAGCTTCACCGTTGCCGGGTCTACCAAAGCCATCGATGCCTTTGCCACCATGCTCGCTGGAAAACAGGGCATCAAGAGCAAGCGGCTTAACGTCACCAATGCCTTCCACTCCGCACTGGCAGAGAACCTTGTCAGTCGTCTGAATGAGGTTGGTAAGAGCCTAACCTTCAAAGACGCCGTTATTCACATCGAGCGCGCAACCGAGCAGGGAGACCCGGCGGCGCCGTTGGATTGGCGATTTGCCGGCTCTCACATGCGCCAGCCTGTTTTCTTCAATCACGCAGTGCAAAGGCTCGCACAGAAGTATCCCGAGGCTATCTTCCTTGAAGCCGGTTCCAACTCGACCATCACCGTCATGGCCTCGCGGGCACTGGCTACGACAGTCCCCTCTGACGCGATTCACTTCCAGTCCGTGTCCATTACTAACACAAAGAATGGTCTCGACAAGCTCACAGATGCGACTGTCGATCTCTGGAAGCAGGGTCTGCCCGTGTCTTTCTGGGCCCACCACCGCTCGCAAAAGGATGAGTATTCACAGCTTCTTCTGCCACCGTACCAGTTCGAGAAGACGCGCCACTGGCTCGAGCTCAAGTCGCCAATTGAGCAGGCTCTCAAGGTTGCACAAGAGAAGATGGGAAGCAATGGACTGTTGTTGGCAGCGCCAGGACAGCAAGGGCAAATCGATCCCAAAACCCTCGACATGTGGACTTTCGTCGGCTTCCAGGACCACAACAAAAAGAGCAAGCTGGCTCGTTTCCGCATCAACACGGAATCAGACAAGTACCAACGCCTGTTCTCAACGCATGTGATCGCGAAGACGGCGCCAATTGCTCCCGCAACGCTGGAGATTGACATTGCCATCGAGACTCTTTTCAGCCTGAATCCTGAGTGGAGACCAAGTGGCTTCTCGCCGGTCGTCCGCGACATGCTCAGTCACTCACCAATCTGCGCCGATCCGACGCGTGAGTACTACATCGACCTCGAGGCGCTCAACAAGGCTGAGACCGAGTGGAACTGGACCATCCACAGCGTCGGCGCGTCTCCCGCCGACGATAAGCACGCCGAGGGTCGCATCAGCATGTGCTCTCCTTCTGATCCGGCTGCCAACCAAGAGTTTGCACGATGGGAGCGCGTCGTCAGCCATGCGCAATGCCAGGCGATCCTGGCGTTGGGCGCGCACGAGGAGGGCGTGGAAGTGCTCGGCGGCCGCAATGTGTACCGAGCCTTCGAAGAAGTCGTTGTCTTTGGCTCTGTCTATCAGGGTGTCAAGTACATCGTGGGCCGCGACAACGGCGAGAGCGCCGGTGTCGTGCACAAACGTCACACCGGTGACACCTGGCTGGACGTTCCCAAGGCAGACTCGTACGGCCAAGTTGCGGGTATGTACGTCAATCTTTTGACCGATATTCCCGCCAGCGACATGTTTGTTGCCACCGGTCTCGAACTGGTCATGCGCTCACCAAAGGCTCAGCTCATGATGGATGGCCGTGACAATGGTCCCGATGTCTGGCATGTTCTCGCTCGCCACACACGCCAGAACGAGAAGTCGTACGTGACGGATGTCTTCATCTTTGATGCTTCGACCGGTGCGCTGGCCGAGGTCATCCTCGGCCTGAGATACGTCCGGATTCCCAAGGCGACGATGAGCAAGATCCTGGCCAGAGTGACGACAGACAAGTCATTCGTGAGGGACACCGCAGCGTCTTTGCCGACTCCGGCCCGACCTGTTGCCGCCTTCACTGCGCCTACCAGTGCCACACCGGCGGTGATCCCTTCTCGCCCCAAGGCGAAGACGACCAACAGCCAAAAGTCGAAGGCTGATAGCGGAGCACGCGACATTGTTAAAGAGGTGCGCGATGTAGTCTCCAACGTTTCCGGCATGGAGGCTAGCGAGATCAGCCTTGACAGCCAGATGGCTGATCTGGGCATCGATTCGTTGATGGCCATGGAGCTGGCGCGCGAGATTGAAAACAGCCTCCGGTGCAAGCTCGACAGTAACGAGACGATGGCCGCAACCAGCCTTCGCGAGTTCGTCGCTTGCGTGGCGAATGCTCTGGCCAGGGGTGGAGGTGGACGAAACGTGGAGGAAGATGACGACGACGACGACGAGAGCGATGATGATACAACCGGTAGAGGGGAAGATGTTGGCTCGCTAGACACGGGCGACGAGGATTCAGGCTCGAATATCACCACTCCGGATGATGCCTCGGACTTCAGCAACGAAGGTCAGGATTCCAAGATCGAGGCGCCCGTCCCAGCTGCTAAAGTCTTGAACAGGGGTAACGTCGAAGCCCGAGAGGCTGCAGCACTGCGCCTAGTCGAAACCTACACAAGCGGTTGGGAGACGGCAGCGTTAGAGGCTGCGGAAAAGGGCGCGATCGCCAGCCGCCGCAGTGAAGGAGCAGTGGTTGTCGTGACTGGCGCGTCCGGCAGTCTTGGATCTCACATTGTTCAAACCCTCGCAGAGCGATCCGATGTCGCCACCGTCGTCTGCATGAACCGCGCCATCAGCGACGTCTCCGCTGACAAGCGTCAGGAGGAACTGCTCTCTTCGCGAGGCATCGAGTTGTCCCCTGACGCATGGAAGAAGCTGCGGGTCTATGGCACCGACACATCCAAGCCACATCTTGGTCTGTCGGACGAGGATTATGACTGGCTGACGCAAAATGGCACACATATTGTCCACAATGCCTGGCCTATGAGCGCAACTCGGCCGCTCCCAGCCTTTGAGCCTCAGATGCGAGTGATGCGGAACCTACTGGACCTTGCCCGCGACATGGCAGTCGGCACCTCAACCCGCAGAATCGGATTCCAGTTCATCTCCTCCATCGGCGTGACGGGCTTCTCGGACGAGTCCAACATTCTCGAACAACCCATGTCCATGGCCGCCGTCATGCCCAGCGGCTACAACGAAGGCAAATGGACGTGCGAGCGCATGCTCGCCGACACACTCCGCCAGCACCACCGCCTCTTCCGCGCCATGGTCGCGCGACCCGGCCAGATTTCCGGCTCCACGACCAGCGGCTTCTGGAACCCCGTCGAGCATTTCGCCTTCGTCATCAAGAGCTGTCACAGTCTCAAGTCGATTCCTGATCTCGGCGGTGTCGCACACTGGTTGCCCGTCGACAAATCCGCGCGCGTCATGGTCGATTTGTTGAACATCGATTGTCGCGAAGGCGCGACGGAGTCGTATCCTGTCTATCACGTCGACAACCCCGTAGGTCAGCCCTGGAAGCAGCTTGTTTCCGTCCTGGCGGAGGCGCTGGAGGTTCCGGCGCACGGCATTGTGTCTTTTGAGGAATGGATCCGCCGCGTGAGGAGCTCGGCATTGGGACCAAAGGAGAATCCGGCGGCGATGGCGTTGCCGTTCCTGGAGGATCATTTTGAGCGCATGGCTTGCGGTGGCATTGTGCTGGATACTGCGCGGTCGAGTGAGCATTCGGAGACGATGGCGGCGGAGGGACCGGTCAGTGCAGAGGTTGTCAAGGCATATGTGAGGTCTTGGAAGGAGATGGGATTTCTTTACTAGTTTCTGATTACTGGGCGGTCTATAGATGGGCGGCGTTAAATATGTTTTGGGAATTGGGATCAAACACGGATGCATTAGAATTAGATCTGATATTTGATGAAATTCAATAAACCTGTTTTCTTTTCAATGGCAACGTATGGAATGCTCTTTAGTGTTGCAGTGATCAAAGTATTGTGCATTGCGAAAGTCTTGCGAAAATTTGGAGGTTGTGCGGAGTTGCTAGCGCCGCGTTGTCAAACAGCAACAGCTCTTGAGGATCAACCTCTATATCATATAAACAAGGTATCAAAATGATGCTGAGCTTCTCCTAATTCTAAAAATATAAATAAATAGTAATACAGATCTTTACTGATAGAAATGGCTTTCTATATAGTAAATTCTACTTCTTTAAAAAGAATCTTTTATATGTGAATTCTGTATCAAAAGAATCAGAAGAAGCTCAGCATCATTTTGATACCTTGTTTATATGATATAGAGGTTGATCCTCAAGAGCTGTTGCTGTTTGACAACGCGGCGCTAGCAACTCCGCACAACCTCCAAATTTTCGCAAGACTTCCGCAATGCACAATACTTTTCATATTTGTTCGATGTCAAGATCAATACAACGCGTATCGTGCTGGAGTCTACCACTGTGTAAGCCAGACTACCTAGTGTAAATCCAGCCTCAACTTAAGGCCCTGAAAGAGGAAGGGGATAGACTTCTATATGATTGTTGTCATGCGCCCTTGCAGGGCAGGGCAGGGCAGAGCCATCTGCGCCTGTCAGGCGGTCGGCATACGCCAAGGATAGGAGGATCTGACGTACAAAAGGCGCCAAAATCCACAGATAGAATCAACACACTCTTTACCCACTTTTGAATTAGTTATTTGTTTGTTTCTTCGTCAGGCCAGGGCATCTGACAATTGTCATCCTTCAATAATGAATTATTCGAAAAGTAGAACTAATCTAATTAGAATAAAAGAAGAAAGAATGCTCTATAATAACTTAATTAAAGAGATTTTACCTAAGTTGTATTAATATTACGAATCCCGGGCTGTTAGACGGCCACGGCCTAGCAGAAAGAGGCGAGAAAAAGACGCAGAAAAGGCGTCGAAAAGACGCTGTTCAGTGTGGTAGAAGTGTGTAGATTCTATCTATCTCCTGCAGACGGCTACGAGGCCTCTATTTGGCGCACGGCAGGCACACGGCAGGCGCTTGGCAAGCGTGTGGCAAGCGTGTGGCAGGCGTGTGGCAGGCGTGTGGCAGGCGTGTGGCAGGCGTGTGGCAGGCGCATGACACGGGCTTAATAATAATAAATGCTACTTACTACTCAGAAGAATAACATTAAATAGCAAGTTATTCCATCTAATAAATGGGTATTAGCGCGTTCAAATACATGAAATCAACACTCAAAATAGGCAGCAAATCTCTTGTTGCGTTAGTTGTTGCTATCATTAGCAACGTAACAATTCGAAGCAAAACAGCGCAATTTGCCCTCGCGCGAAGTAATAGAAACTGTTTGAAAAAGAGCGTATTTTAAAGCATTGAAAATTCTGTTAAAACGGCGTAGAAAAGCACTGATTTGAAATCCAGTGACGTTGTTGCAACACTGCGAGTTACGTGAATTTGGCTGTACCATATGACGTCAGTTCAACACTAGGGAAATCAATCACCCTTTTCTAATTCTAATTTCACACTATCTAAAACATGACCCTGCTAGGATTCCGACGCCCAAGACTCTCGTATATCTGGGATCTGAATCCTTAGACAGCATTGTCCCCTCGCCGACTTGTTACTCTGTGACCACCAGCATCACCATCTCACAGAACATTCAACAGGTCCGTGATCGGCAACTTCTCCGGCTTCTCCGGATGAGGTCTTTGCTCATCTCCATAATTCAAGTGGGCTTTCAGCTTGTAGCCCTCAGGCACACCCGCAAACTTCTTGATCGCTGCCTCGATCGGTGCGAGAGAATTCATGTGCTGCAGGTTGGCGCCGACGCCCTCGAGTTCCAGTGCCGTCCATACGAGGATTTGATGAATGCCCTGTGCGTGCTCACCCCATTCCCCGAACATGTGCGCGGTGGCTTTGTGTGTCTCAGCGGCTTCTTTGGTCGTTTCAGTGCGTTCCCAGAAGAGAACCTACCCGAAGTTCGTTAGATACACACTGCACGGGCATGGATGAAAGTGGCCGTGGGAAACTTTACCGATCCATATGCCGCCTGATGAGATTGGAACAATGTTCTTAACTTCTTCCATAGCTCAGGATTGATGCGCTCGAGGATCGGCTCGGCTTTCTCGAGGATAATGCTCCATAGTTCTTTGTGTTTCTCCCCGAAAGCGAGCGAAATGCGGACGGGCTGGGTGTTGTAAGATGAAGGGGCAAAGTCGAGGACTTTGGCCACAATTTCCTCAACGCGTTTGTCCGATACTTTGGAGGTGCCCGCTAAACCGTGAACGCTGCGACGGTAAGCTGCGGCCTCAAGCCACTGGTCAGCGGTGACGGAAGGCATACTGTGATTATTGAACGACAGGGCAATGGTTCTTCCACGAGGAGTGGAATGCAGCTTTATAAGAAAGAAAGTCGGATATATATACTATAATACCTCACGCGACAAAAGTGACCAGACTAAAGGACCGTCCCGTACGTAACCCACACGATTTCCCAACCGGATAGCACGCATTAGTTTTTGAGTACCAACCGGCGCACATTTTACCGACTGGCGTCGCGTTGATGAATGTGCGGGATCCTGTAGTGATTAGATCCGTTTAATTCCGTTCGGGTTCCTAATACGGCTGATAGAAATTCCGGATGACAAACGTTTTCCCGGATCTTCAGCCGAGCTCGTACGAAGGAGAAAATTAAACTAAGGGATGCGTTGGGTTCAGCTCGTTCGTCTTTTGTCTCTATTCTCTAAAAGGAAATTCTAAACTTGGGTGGTTGCCGTGGCCCCGACTGCTGATCAACCCGGCTTCCAGGACAAGTGACAGCTTCGAATGCGAAAGGACACTGGCCAGCCTTAGTCCAAATGATGCTCAAAGATAAATCGTAGTCCCTATAGTGCACCAAATCCTCAGTATGCAATTCAAGAGCACAACAGCCAAACAGCGTTCGCAAACTGACCAATGAAACAGTACGAGGGGTCGGTACTGTTGGTACAGTACCAAAACAGGGTATGGTACCGTTGGTACTATCGTACCGTTGGTGTTGTACTGTGTCTCAGTACAGTACCATACAAATGCTAACGTGAGTTATTTTCTACTAAACGTTCATTTATCGTGTACTATAATATGGATGCTTACTAAGCCACAAGGAGGGATAGAGTTTTCTTGGCATCCGCTAATATCGTGTGAATTCCCTATAAAATTAAGCTCTTAATTTCTATATAGTATCGTTGGCATTGTACTGGAGTACTGAGCCCCTGGTTTGGTACCGTTAGTACGCCCCAGGGGGGTAGTACCGTATCGTTGCGTTGGCTACGTACCGCGGTACTGACCAAGGACTGTGAACGCTGCAGCCAAATAGGCCTCCATTTCCAATCGATTGTCATTCGATGCGTCCTCCGGAACGCCCAAACTCCGACATGAACCATCTAATCCGTTCTATGCCCTGGTGTACACGCTTATCTATTGTATCAAGAAACCACTCCGTCCCATTATCGGTGGTGGCATGTCCGTCTCCCGTGCAGCCTTGTGGATCTGCTGGACGACTCTCTCGACGTCTCGAATCTTGATGGGCAGTCGATGATCTCCGTCCCACTCGACGAGCGTCGCATACCGCGAATCGCAGTACTCGCGAAGCAGCTCTCGGTGCTTGTCGAGTCCCGGGTCGTTCAAACCGTGCACATGAATGGTTGGGAGTCGCAGCATGTGTTCATGGGAACCCAGCGTGAGCCACGCAGGCGGATCATACGTGAATGGTGTGGCAGCGTCGACCAAGCCGCGCGGTTTAGGCAGATCAGGCATGAGCCAAACCAAAGGCCCACGGCCGGCAACGAGGACTGCGAATCGGAACGTAGTCATGCCGCTTCTTTGCTGTCGGTAGAGGAGGCTCGCGGCGACTTTGGCACCCTGACTGAATCCTAACAGTCCCACCCATTCTCCTGTCGCGCCCTTGGCGTCGTCGGCAGCCATGGCCAAAGCGAGGGACGCGTCAATCTTGGAAGCAACATCGCGGCTTGTCCAGACGCCGGGCATACGGTGATCTCGGAGCCAGACTCTGAAAGGCCCAAAGTCCTTATATACGGATGTCACGTCTGGACCAGGCCACAGGCTGATGAAGGGAGCTTGGGCATAGACAAGACGAAAAGATCGCGCGAGACGTTTCTCGAGAACTCTGCATTGCATGCGGAAGATAGTCGCGTTGGTTCCGCCGCCATGAAGACAGAGAATGCGTGGTAGATGGGTCGTCGATGTGTCGTTCATGTTGGGGTATCCTGTCACTTCCGAGGGAGGGCTTCTTGGAGTGCTTGTATCTAGACTTACTTTGAGTTGAAGAATATATGCGACTTATAGTACGTGGTTGCTGCGCCGCAAAAGCAAGGCTCCGGGCTTCCTGACTGCTATTCTATAGGCAATGGTAATTCCGTTGGACGATCAGCAGGAGTTAATATAGTCCGTAATATATCTTACGATCACATTCCTAGCACGTTAGTACAAGAAAAGCTAGCTTTCACTTATCCTAGTTAGCGTATATTGAAAACTTTTGAAGCATGACTCCGTACCTTCGTTTGGAATGACTCATCACCTTCAATGCGTGTCGAAATAGGCCACTGGACCAGTCGCTGGTACGCCCAGACAAACTGAGGGTCCGAGGGATCATCGTCGACCGGGTCGACCCCAATGAAAGGGTGCCGCCGAGTCATCCCATAAAGCATCAAACAGCCATCTACGACGAATGGCACGCGCTCGCTGAGTGCTCTGCAAACGCTCTGTATCGAGATCAGAAATCGATCCGAGAACAAGCATTTTGGCTAACACTACTGAACGGATCTTTCCACGATGATAGCGGGGTACCTCCCATCAATGACGACACTGTATGCAATGGATCGAGTTACTTGATTGAATCTAACGTAGTGGATGGAGGAGAGAAAGCTGATGAGCAGCAAGAGCTAATCTAAGAAGCAGCGCCAAGGCAGAGCTAACGGAACGTGCACGTGACACTCGTACCCTTCACCACGCATGAGACTAATGGAACTCGTACTGCACTTGAAGCTTCCGCAACTTCTCCAGCACTCGACGCCACCGACAGCAGCCACTGACACAAGTGGTGGTCCTTCCTGCACGCCCAGTCCGAATTTTTGGATGTCGACAGCCTCGCATTCAATACGTGCGTCACCACCGTGACCGTCAACCGCCGGTTCTTCGTGACGCCGGGAATGAGGAGGAGGGCGGCGGCTGGATGGGGACCGTATCCCCAGCCACCGGGCCAGGTGACCTGGTGGTGGTGCTCAATGGCGGTTTGGTGCCATACATCGTCCTACAGCCGCCGTGATGACAGGTCCCGACGGTACAAATTTATCTGGATTTACCATTTTCGGGGGCTTGCTATTTGCATGGGGTCTTGCAGGATAAGGCCACCGATCGGCTCGACGCATGGATTTATCCCGAGCAGAGTTTTGTGCTGGTCTGACTGGATGTAGTCCAAAATGGGATCTGGGGAGAAAATGTAGAGGACTTTGTGTTAACTTTTACAAACTTGATTCTTACTGCCTCACGTTCGTTGCTTTTCATGCTAGTCATCGTGTGGTATGTGAATCAAGTACACAGTATATGGGCTCCTTCATCGAACTAGAATTGATGAAAGAGTGAGTTGTGCTACTCAGTGGAAACTAATACCCAGCCTTGCTTATCAAGAGGTTCTGATACACACCATCGCTTCAATCTGATTCCCAATGGCTTCTGGGAAGTCCGTTCCTAGCACAGAACATGCGATGCTCCGCTGGGACAATTGGGGGCAGGCATCGAGTCATGGAATAACCTATCCTATTTATCACCCCGACATTATGGCAATCGCTCCAGAGCTATACATCCTATCTCCACATCCACTATTCACATCCATCATCATCTCTTCTGACTCTGGCTAGAGCCAGACGGCAGACCGATCCGGAGAGAGAAGGTTTGATCCTGCAGGCTTTTAATTGAAAAAGGGACGGACGAGTTGGCCCTATCGTTGGCAGCGTGTCTAAAAAGGTTGAATATCCCGCCATAATAGAAGCACAATACCACGTTACTACGACAACAGCAGCCTTCTGGAACGGACCCTTGGACCATCTGCTCAGGTGGAATCATCAAGTCAACTACGACCCACAGGTCAGAGCTAGTGGGGAAACATGACCTAATAGAGACATTGATTTCCTGATTTGATGCGCCGAACGTCAAAACTGGACGTGTTTGTAAGGTGTTATGATGGACAATTCCATCAATGGAGTTTGTGAGCATCCCAGGATCGCAGCTTGGCACCGCCTCGTTCCCAACGCTCTGTCAAGTGAAACGCTCTATCAAGGGGTAAATTTCTAGCCAGAATTGTACATTGCCCAATTGAGTACTTCTGTCGGTATGTATCCCTACAACTCGTGAAAAAAATGTTGATATGAGCCTGCTGTTGATAGCAAGGACGGCTAGCTGCCGCCACAGAAGCTCAACGCCTTCAGTACGAACAGAAGAAGCGAAAACAAATGGTCTCATGAATCAAATCGAGTCACTTGCTTAATTACTACCTCATTTTTTCCTACCCCCCATGTAAAAAGATTCAGAAAATGAAAACTCGTTAACAATCGTTTTGTCCATTTCAAATCTTCCTTTTGGGCCACCAACACTAGAAAAGTTCGTTCAAAACTCTCCTTTGAGTCGGTGTTGATGTTGAAGTGGGTTAGCAACAGATTGACCACTGTGGCGTAGTCGTTAACATCAGAATGCATCAAAACAGCTTAACCACTATCTTATGTCCGCCTACTGCCGCCCATGAGAGTAGTGTCCATCCACAAAAACTATAGAGTAATATCAATATCAGGACGCTCTAAAAAAAGTTTGACTACCGCCTCATGTCCATACCTTTTTGCCAATGAGAGTGGTGTCTGTCCCCAGGAATCAGTAGAGTTAATGTCAATATCAGGATGTGTCAAAAAGAGTTTGACTACCGCCTCATATCCACACCCTGCCGCCCATAAGAGTGGTGTCCGTTTCAGGGAATTAGTAGAGTTAATGTCAATATCAGGATGTGTCAAAAAGAGTTTGACTACCGCCTCATATCCACACCCTGCCGCCCATAAGAGTGGTGTCCGTCCTAAGAAATCGGTAGAGTTAATGTCAATATCAGGACGTGTCAAAAAGAGTTTGACTACCGCCTCATGTCCACGCCCTGCCGCCAATGAGAGTGGTGTCTGTCCACAGATATCGGTAGAGTTAATGTCAATATCAGGACGTGCCTAAGAAATCGGTAGAGTTAATGTCAATATCAGGACGTGTCAAAAAGAGTTTGACTACCGCCTCATGTCCACGCCCTGCCGCCAATGAGAGTGGTGTCTGTCCACAGATATCGGTAGAGTTAATGTCAATATCAGGACGTGTCAAATAGAGTTTGACCATCTCCTCATGTCCACGCTCTGCCGCGTATGAGAGTGGTGTCTGTTTCCAAGTGTTTTTAGAATTAACGTCAACATCAGAGCACGTGAAAAGTAGCTTGACTACCTCCACATGCCCACAATTTGTGGCATAGTGAAGTGCAAGACCCAAGTTCTTTGGGGATGGAGTCGGTCCTCTCTTCAGAAGCTGCTTGGCTAAGATTGCATCGCCACGTAAAGCAGCATCCATAAATTTTGTCTCAGGCACAAGTAATTTGTTTAATATTCTAGCCACGCGGTTCGGTTTCTTGGCCGCCTTCGAACTGGCCTTGTTGGTCATTTCATCTGGTAAGGTTCTCTCAGAGAGCATCCCTCGTGAAGGAGACTGCTGTACAGAGGTGTTGATCAGTCTGACACTGGGCACCGTTGCTTCGGATTGAATCGGATGAGATGGCAATAACGCTTCCTGACCTGATTCTGTTGTCATGTGAGAATCACCAAGAGCCACATCCCCTGCTAGGCCTTCTTCGATAAGAGCTCTCTGAAGCGTTGTAACGATAAATAAGCTGTGCTGTGAAAAGAGTGCGGGTGTTATGCCAACATTCTCTAATTCTTTGCGCAACTGCCGCCATGCTTCCCTTTCATCTGTGGACAGTGAATCAATTGTTTGTGTGGAGATGACTGATCCTTCCCGTTTTCCAGCACGAACTTCTTCGATAACCATATTAAGCCTCTGTTCGACCCTGCGTTGGGATGAACTAGAAAAGCACACCCTTTGTAAGCAGACAAGAATAAAACTATATCAGAGTTTGACATACTTTATCATGTTGCAATTAAACAAGTTCAAAGTAGCAATGTGAGATAATAGTCTCTCTCTTATATCTGCCACTTCCTCTGCACCCCAACCCATCCTTTCCCATGTGACCTGAGTCTGGGCTCCTACACTATCAAAGTGTGTTTGTAGATCTTGTAGATCTCGCAATACCTTATTTGAACTTTGCGACAAATGGCGAAGTGTAGGATGATTGGTGATATCAATGTCAAGTTCGTTGCAGGTCTCTTGAGCTGTTTCAAGAGCCGAAAGAAAAGCCGCGAGTTCATTTCGGATATCTTTGAACTGATCTGACGAAGTCAAACAGGAACGGTAGAGTGATCGAGCCAGCGGCCGAATTGTTGTGATGTGGTCTGGAAGGGTTGAAGCACTTGTCAGTCACAGCATCGCTACAAGTGGTGCCTGTCCCTACTGATATTGATATCGCGACCTGAATGAAGGTCATCGTTGAATACCGCGCCGCCTTGGGAATTGGTGAGGCCAGAGTGGATGCGCTGCGCTTGGGACGAGGACGCCATGCCTTTGCCAATATATGTGCAGCATTGGATGGCTCAAAAGCTGGAGCCTAGATGAGGATCTTTCTAACTCGATCGAACAAACCTATTGCACCAAAGAGAGGCTGCTGATCGCACACTGTTGAGCAACGAGGCTGAACTGGCGACCTCGATATGATGTGGCTGCGAGTGTTCAGGGTAGGGGTAGGTTGCCTTAGCCGCTTGCCCCCTCAACAGCCTCACCCCTAAATATTTGTGACAAAAATGCTGCCTGACTATTTGATCACAGGCGTGAGTCGTCCATTTGCAGCTGACGTTCACCAACATACAAAAAGAAGTTGAGAAGGAAGAATCATATCGCTTATACTCGACCAAGGGGATTATGGCCTTCGAACACTCTTCGAATCTAATACGTAAAGCATTTGCCGAGTAGTTAACTGTAACCCCTAGGTCACTCACGTGGTGAAGGGCTCCGAAAATAACGCGTTATTGGTCCTTAGTCATTACAAAGACCGTCAAAGGACGATCAGGTGACTATAATCTGACTGTTATATGGCCATAATTTTGAAAAGACGTCCAAAATGACACAGTTTCATAGATTTTAAGATGTCCTAGATGAATTCGATCATATTATGAGTAGGCCTGACTTAAGCACACATTGATGATAATTTAGACATAACTCTCAGTGGTCTCTCCCTGCGAAGCATCATTTCAAACTTGCCAAGATAGACAGACCTAGACCGAACAAGTACTACTTACTACATGCCAGTTCTTCTAGGTTGCCAGTCCAAAAGTGAGTTGCATCCTCTGTCGCTCTAACTACCTCCTACTGATCTACTCGCCCCAGGGTCTTAGATGATGAAAGCAGCTACTAGCTGGAAGTGTGATCCGTTGACACCCAAAAATGGCGTCGAATTTCGAAGCCAACGGCACAAAGCAACGGCGCCAGAAGTCGACTCGGCGAAGGAGACCAGGGAGCAAAGACGATTTCGATGAGCGATGGGGAGATGAAGAGCCTGGGTCAGATGAGGCCGAGGAGAACGACTTTCAGATCCCACCCCCAAAACGAGCAAAGTTGGATGATGGTGCTGCACGTATGCGAACTCCCACACCGGACGAGAACGAATCTCCGGAGGCATTGTTAGAAAAAGAGGCCAGGCGAGACCGTGAAGAAAGGGATGAGTTTGCAAGACGACTCGCAAAGAGAGATGATGAGCGCTCAAAGAAGATGGTTGAAGACCGCTCATCGGCGAAGGACAGTGCTCTGGCTCAGCGCCGGGCATTAGCTGATGATGCTGCGGGCAGGAGCGCTGCTATGCCTGATCTACGGCTACGCTCACGGCAGGACTACTTGAAGAAGAGAGAGGCGGAGATGCTAGCTTTGCTACGGAAACAAGTCGCAGAAGAGCAGGCAGAGCTGCGAGAGAATCCTGATCTGACAAGCGCGGAGAGGGCCGAGTTTGCTAAGAACAGGGAGGTGCTACGGATCGCGGAGGAGAGAATGAAGATTGATGAACACCTTGATGGCTATGCGTTGCCTGAAGACTACATTACCGAGAAGGGCAAGATTGACCGGAAAAAGAAAGAAGAAGCACTATACAAGCGATATGCCGATCGGGATGAGCATGGGAATGAGAGATTCGTTACGGAGCACGAGGAGTGGGAGAAGGAACAAACCTCGAAAGCTCAGGCCCAGGTATCGAGGTTTGAGTTTGTTGATGAAGGAGATTACGACTACGTGTTTGATGATTCCCAAAAGCTTAACTTCATCATGGAGGATCGACTAGCTGGGGACACGAAGCTTATGACCAAGGAACAGAGGATGATGATGCAGCAACTGACAGCCGCAGAGCAGAAGGCTAAATCGATAGAGGAGACGAGGAAGAGTCTCCCAGTCTATGCATTTCGAGAAGAGATCCTTTCTGCCATTGGTGAGCATCAAATCTTGATTATTGTGGGCGAAACAGGAAGCGGAAAAACAACACAACTACCACAGTATCTACATGAAGCCGGCTACACAAAAGGGGGCTTGAAGGTGGGGTGTACACAACCCAGGCGGGTTGCAGCAATGAGTGTAGCAGCTCGTGTTGCTGAAGAGATGGGAGTGAAGGTGGGCAACGAGGTTGGATACGCAATTCGATTCGAAGATGCGACAAGCGACAAAACCGTACTAAAGTATATGACGGACGGCATGCTTCTACGTGAACTTCTTACAGAGCCCGATCTAGGAGCCTACTCAGCTTTGATGATCGATGAAGCTCACGAAAGGACTGTGGCTACTGATATTGCATGTGGCCTTCTAAAAGATATCGCCAAAGCCAGACCGGATCTGAAGCTTCTCATTTCCTCAGCTACAATGGATGCTGTGAAGTTTCAGAAGTATTTCGATAATGCCCCCATCTTCAACATTCCTGGACGTCGATATGCAGTAGATATACACTACACATCGCAGCCGGAAGCAAACTATCTTGCTGCAGCCATTACGACGATCTTCCAGATACACATCACGCAAGGAAAAGGCGATATTCTTGTCTTCCTCACGGGACAAGAGGAAATCGAAGCAGCAGAAGCAAACCTGCAGGAAACAGCTCGCAAGCTCGGGAGCAAGATTCCAGAAATGCTCATTTGCCCAATCTACGCAAATCTCCCGTCTGACCTCCAAGCCAAGATCTTCGAGCCCACACCAGCAGGAGCTCGCAAAGTAGTCCTCGCTACAAACATAGCAGAAACATCGTTAACCATCGACGGTATAGTCTATGTCATCGATCCCGGCTTCGTCAAAGAAAACGTTTTTAACGCCCGCACCGGCATGGAATCCCTCATTGTAACGCCCTGTTCTCGCGCCTCCGCTGGTCAACGCGCAGGGCGAGCAGGTCGTGTCGGCCCGGGGAAATGCTTTCGCCTATACACCAAACAAGCTTACATGAACGAGTTAGACGAGAGCACTACCCCAGAAATCCAACGCACAAACTTGAACGGAACGATCCTCCTCCTCAAATCTCTAGGGATAAATGACCTCCTCGACTTCGACTTCATGGACCCACCTCCCACCGACACCATCGTCCGCGCCGTCGAACAACTGTACGCACTGGGCGCCCTCAACAATGCAGGCGAACTCACGAAGGTAGGTCGTCAGATGGCCGAGTTCCCCACCGACCCCATGCTCGCCAAATCAATCCTAGCAGCGGATAAATACGGCTGCGTGGAAGAAGTCCTCTCCATCATCGCCATGCTAGGCGAAGCATCCGCGCTCTTCTACCGGCCTAAGGACAAGAAAATCCACGCCGACAGCGCTCGAGCACGCTTCACCAACAAAGAAGGCGGCGATCATCTATCGCTGCTGAATATCTGGAACGAATGGGTCGATTCGGATTTCAGCTATGTCTGGTCGCGTGAGAACTTTCTCCAGCAGCGCTCGCTGAACCGAGCCCGTGACGTGCGCGACCAGCTCGCCCGCCTCTGCGACGCGAACAATCTCCCCCCGATCCAGAAAGCCATCACGGCTGGATTTTTCCCCAATGCTGCAAGACTACAGAGGGGCGGGGACAGCTATCGCACGGTCAAGAATGGACAGTCGGTTTATATCCACCCGAGCAGTGTACTTATAGAGGTTCATCCCAAGTGGGTGCTCTACTATGAACTGGTCTTAACAAGCAAGGAGTACATGCGCAGTGTGATGCCGTTGAAGCCGGAGTGGTTGGTCGAGGTGGCGCCGCATTTTTATGCGAAGAAGGATCTGGATAGTTTGGGGGGTGGGGATAAGAAGATGCCCAGGGGCAGGGGGGTTGGTGCTGCGGAGGGAGGAGGGGGGAGAAGTAAGATCTAGTCTTTAGATCGTGGGGAAATTGAATAGATGGATAGATTAAGTGGCGGAATGATTGAAAGTGCATGCACTGGATTGCCATTTCCCGTATTTGCGACCTTACTCCCACGGTTAGACGGATAGGATGCTCCATTCTGTTTGTTTCTTTCGTTTTTGGGATCGTCGAGATGGGAAGAAGAAACTCGTTGTGCTGTGATGAACTCTCGACGTGTTTGTTGCTCGGTTGGTTGGTTGGTCCACCGCCCAGATTTCCCCACAGTCCTTTTCTCCTTTCTTCGTGACAGGGCAGCACAAGCCTCCAGAGCACAATCGCACAATACTCGATTTATCCTCATCATCATCATTATCCCTTAGCAGCGTACTTTCTTGCGGATCGGGTCCGCCGACTCGATCTGGTTGAAACTTACAAGGAGAAATCTTCATCCCTATGCTCGATGTTTCTGAATGAGATGCTAGACACCGGGCCGGGCTGTGAATGTTCATCCATGCCTCGTCGTTCCTGTTGCATGGGGAATATGTACATGGCAGATAAAGTAGGTTGGGTCAGGTCAGATTTCGGGGAGCGGAGCACGATGACAGACAGCCCAGAGAGGACAGACGTTGCATGCTATGCCGCGGCAGCATTATCGCCATGATCTGCAGAGTTCTCGGTGGGTAAGGTGTGATACAGAGACTTGGAAGGAGAGGAGAGGACGCCGTGTTTGTGGTTGAGAATGCATTAGGCTTGCTCATTGCATTCAGAGGATTTAATTAACCTCATACATTAAACATAACCGTAGTTGGATCGTACATGTCCTCGTCTTCAATCATCACTCGCTGTTTTTATGTTATACAAGAAGATTATGAAAGCCGTGCTCGGGGAGAACCACAATCTGCTGCCAACTAGCTCGTCATCATCACGGTATCCTCTCAATCTCCCCCACCCCCCCTGCATTTGCCTCCTGCTCTTCCTCCATCTGCAAAGCCTGTGCCTCCTGCTGCTGCTGCTTTTCTTTACGACTCTTTTCGACTTCCCACGCCCATTTATAGAGCTGCTTCGGGTGCTCAGGACATTCTGGTGGATCCATCCGGCGAATGTAACGATTGAACGCCCATGGGACAACCGTTTTCACTTGGTATTCGATGTGTTCGAAGTTTCGGACACCGACTGTGGCTGTCAGTATCTGAAGTACTGGCACCGAGGAATGGCTATTGGTTGAGGAAGCTTACAGATATAATTCAGCTCTTCTAGGGACATGGGATTCAGGTTGCCTGGCGTTCTGCTGAGAGTTGCGCCGGCTGTTTCGCGGACTGTGGGTTCTGTAAGAGGCATTGCTAGGAAGTGAAGCAGCATTAGGAGCATACCGAAGAAGAAGACAAGAATGAATGCAACAACATTCAAGGCTGTGTCGCATCTGAGGTCAGTATTGGACACTCTATTGATGATGATGAACGGGGTCAAACAAGACGGGTGCGCACCTGCGAAAACGGACAATATCTTTGTGTGCTTGACATCCTGTGATTACTCGATCAGCATCTTGATAGGACATCTAAACAGGCTCTGCCAAGCTACAGTAACTTTGAAGTCACAGATTTGGTGATGGATACTTACCGTCAAAGGAGGAACCACAAGAGTGAGTATACCAGCACCAAGAAAATTCAAGAAGACTGCAAACGACATGCCTACAACGCGATTCTCCAGGGGGAAGACCTGATCATAAAAGGTTAAATCTTGTCTTCAACCACAAATGAAAGCCAGCCCCACCTCCGCACTCAAGCTGAATGGCACAGGGCCCATGCCCAACTGTAGCTGTCAGCCCTAAAATTCCCAAAAAGAAGCAAGTATACTACCGAGTAGATAGCCATAAAGATGAACCAGAAGAGGCTTATCACGCCTGTGTGAGCCTTCTGCTGTTCTTCGGGAATATTGAAACTGAAGGCGGCGGCGAGCATTGAGAGTGCGAGACCAGGTATTGTTATCAGGAGTAGAAACCGTCTCCCATCTTGGAAAGGTTGCGATCAGACGACTGCAGCAGGGTTGGAAGGAAGTGGATACCCACATCTATCAATGAGCCAGTACGCGGGAAGTCCAGAGCTGGTTACGAGTCAGCAGGCACTCAGGCAGGGACAGATTGTTCCCGGCCACTAACACAAAATTAACCAATCCTATACCCCAACTTAACCAAAGAGCGTCTATCCCTGGTGCTTGAGCATCGCGGAAGAGAGTGGAAGAATCTTGGTACATTAGCACAACACACTCGTAACTCATGATAGGCAAAAGTGGCATCACTATCCAACTTCGTTGGGCAGCAGGGTAGGACAGCGACTTACAGAATGCTAGCGCGTTCACCCCACATAGCTGTTGTGATATCATGCAGACTCCGGCTGCGATTGTGGCCTGGTCGACGATTAGCAAAGCTAAGGCGAGAGCTGCTCTCGAAGTTACCCTGCGAATGCGGCCTTTTGTGAAGAGCTGTCCCAATTTCTGCCAGTAGTTGATAGAGTGGCTTTGTGGAGCTATGAATCGATGCCACAGATGCATGCAGTTATTTTTGGACCTCACCGAGTGTCTTCGGTTTCGGAATTCAAGTGTGAGAATCTTCGAGCGGTTACCTTGGTCTTCCGAAGCTCCGTCTTTTGATGCTTCGGTACTTTCCTCATTAGCCACTGAAGGGCTTCTGTAGACCTCAGCATGTGTGCTGCAATGGTCCACACTTCGGGCCTTTCTTGAACGCAGCCCTGGCTGGTCGTTGGCATGAAATTCTCTTGGTTCTTCATGGGCTTTGAGACGCTGCTCTGCGTCATGACTTTTTGGTGACAGCAATTTCTTTTCTAGTTCAATCTGCAGATGACAGTAGAAGAGCTCTTTTGCTGCTAGTAACGGCAAGCCTCTCAAATGAAGCAGAGATTTATATGCCTCACCATAGTACTTAGCGCCTCTTTTCATGTAAAACCTGGGGCTTTCTGAAGATATGCCCGTTTTAGTCGTCAAGGTAATCAAAAGCAGAATAGGGAATAGTTTGCGTACCTGGGCAGACGAAAATAAGTGTTAACATCATGATGGTGGGAAGGAAAGCAGACGCAGTTTGAAATCTCCACGCAAGAGGGCCTAGTGGGATCAGTGCACTCGCTACTCATACACATTGAGTTCTGGACTTACCTAATTGAGAGACCGCAAGATTCGCCGTAAACCCACTGCAAAAATAATGAGAAGCAGAAGGGAGACTATGAGACCTCGACATATGCACACCAGAATATTCCCAATGCATCGAACAATTGCCAGTTCATAACCAGCGACCCTGACGTGGGTAAGTCTGCTGCGGTACCAACATTTGTCTGTAGAGGAGCCCCTTACCTCGTATATGGGATGGCGCAACCTCCGCGGCATAAACGGAAACTGGAATCTGCACGATCATGTTAATGCTCTGGAATCGCGAGATGATAGCAAGGCAGCGGCGAAGTCAGCAGCAGCCTACCTACGCTCGCTTCTGCTCTCATGCCAATACCTCTGCGTAAAATCAGCCCTAACTGCTCTCAAAAAATTTCAGAGACCTCTTCTTACCCAGGAGCACACGGCACCCAAACAGTTGCTGCCAGTTGTGCGTACATGCACCTCCGATTACACTTGCGAGAACGAAAATACCAGATATAAAGATAGCGGCACGCCTGCCAAAGAAATATTCATTCAGCGGGTCTAGACACCTGTCAACATTGGAGCTCACCATGAGGCGAATAGCAAATGGAACTTGCCTGACAACCAGCAGCCACTTTATCAATCATGTGTCAGTCTCTGTGCTCTCCGTCAAAGGGAATCGACTAACATTACGCTGGCAGAAAGATATGTCGAAGCATTGACTCTGAATAGGTCAGCTTCTATCGGGTTGACTTTGGTAAGAGAAAATACATTGCAAAGATCCATCTATCGCGAGGGACGTGATGAGGAGGACTCGAATAGATTTTGAACTCATCGGGCCAGTTGAGATTGGCACCTGGGGCGCAAGCAGAACGTTAGTTCAAGGCCGGCGCTCAAGAACTTCTTCCTACCATTACTCCCGGTCTTTGGCAGAATTCAATTGTTAGCATTCGTCGCTGTGTTGAACCGTCTCATCGGCTTTTACCTGATTCCAGCCCCTGAACCCGGTCAGCCAATCAATGAAAGAGCCTCCCTGGGGTTTCCATAACCCATGTGAAGGTCAGGTTGGACGACCTACTGTACAATGGCGGCAAGGCATAATGTTGTCACAGTAACGCGAAGCTGCTTCGGCTGCCTCCAAAACCCAGAAGTTGGGTCGGATCTCAAGGCTTCCCGCTCTTCCGGGGGCAACCCAGATACCGTTTGCCAGGCCTCTGGGTCTCTCATCACTCGGCCGCCCTTTAGTCAGCGATAAGCTGGAGGTCGTGGAACGTGAGTGTATCTAATCTGTACGGACCTTGACGAACAAGTCTTGGAGATGGCTAAAGCCATAATCACAAGCGAATTGCCGCGCAAGGTCATCTGCCTGACCTGGCCGATGATGAAGTAGAGGGTTATCAATTCTGAACGAAATCTGTCAATATTGTTATACGCTCAAGGAGATGCTGGCAGAAATGTACAATCCTTCTTTATTGTCCTCCAAGATCGCACCGTCGACTTCGTTAAGAGATTCGTCATCCTACCAAAAAGCTTGTTCAAAATCCAAACCAGTGCGAGAGTAGTCCGATCAAGCTAGTACCTGGTTCTCGCTGTAAGCAGGAGATGTCGACCTCTCTGCAGCTTCGACCTCAGCTAGTTGCGGGTGGATACTGACCAGTGAACAGGTCCTGGGATTTCAGTGAAGAGACGACTAAAAACTCCTAGGGTACATAGAATCGCAGCGGTTGGTAGCACAGAGGCTAATATGATTGGAATATGAACATATAGAAATGATTTGTGCATGTTTACAAGGAAGATAGCAAGCTGCTGTAGAGTGCCTCAACCCTGCCTGGTAGGAGGTTATGAAATTGTTGCTGAGTAGGTGCATTTTGGATTGGGGAGGTCGCACTGCGTATTGCAAGCAGTGGGTGATCATTGGAGTTGTTCAAGACCTACATGCAAGGCAATACGAGTAGCGCACATTGAACCTCTTCGTATTCGAATAATTAGTTGTATGTACCTTGTCAATTCCGCCCCTGCGGAGTACCTTGTTCCTGCCGGATGCCTCCCCGCTGACACACAGCGTTACTACTACGGTAAGGGGCATAAATAATGTTAGCACGGTGCTAGTAACGCCATGTAAAGATACAACGCCACGTACTTATCTCTTGCCGTAGTGAGTATAGGGTGCCCAGAAATCGCTAAATTAGGACTAGCTCCGTTGAATTTCTGTTTCTCAATATCGAGTGTGCATTCCTTTGGCATCTATAACTGCTTGACATCTTGCATGCATCCCCTGAAGCAGCTCTTCAAGATAGCTCTCAGGAACTGCCTCCCAGGCCTCTGTTATAGCTGTTCGAAGCGTAGAGTATGTACGAAGATCATTTTCGTTATATTGATCTTGTATCTAATTCTTTATCTAATTCTAAACCATCTTAATTAGATTCAAATTAGGAGAATATAAGGGCTATTAAATATAGATAATTCCTCTTTATTAAAGATCTTTAATAGTGCTTTTAGTTAAATAAGCTAGGGGAGCGATGGACTCACACCTTCACGTGGTGCTCCCTGTCAGTATCTCATAGAGAGTAGACTCTATAAGAGAAGCTGAGATGAGTCCTCCCGCTTGCGAGCGATCACAACGCGTTGTGGTAGGTGTCTCCTCAGCTGCCTCGCGTCCGAACAATTACGAAAGAACTCTACTGGGCAATAGCCGCAGGCGTGTGCCGTCATAACCGGATAAAGTGTGAGCTACGAGTCTCTGCGGAAGGTTGTAGTAGCATATCTATAAATGCTACATTCACGCCAAAAGTTATTTAGGGAGCTGTGAGGCCTTAGTTAAGTTACACATAAATGTATTAAGAGTACTTATAAGTGGCTGTAACTCTATAGAAATAGGTTTAATCTTATAATAATAGATTATAACTTACAAAAATAGTTTTATTAAAAGTTATATAGTATTTTAGAAAAGTACTATAAGTGACCTAAATTATCAATATTACTTATACAGATTTATAATCTATTATAAAACTTTTTAAGTAAGAGAATATATTTACAGATATATATTATTTCTTATAAATAAAAAGTAGTAATACTATAATTCTATAATACTTATTAATTTATCTAAAAGATTAACCTTAATAGTACTGCCTTATTCTACTTTTTAAATATGCTAATAATATATTAATTAATATTTATAAGTAACTATATTAAGATATAAAAGAGACGAAATATATTATAAGACTAATAAGTAAGGCTAAATCTTATATAAAAAAAGTAAGTTATAAAGAAAAAAAATTATTAATAATAAGGGTTAATTTATATAGTTATAGATATCCCTAATTCTTTATAATTATACTATAATCTAATATAAGAAAGAGAAAAAGGAATATATTAAGAGTGTTAAGAGTTCTGAGTAACGTAATAATCTAGTATACAAATAGTATATGCCTTACAGATGTAAAGTACTATTAGTAGTAGTAACAAAGGATGAACTCCTGACTTTTATAAGTCAAATAATAAAGAAACTCTAACTCCTAGAGTACAGAGTTCTTTTATTATATATATATATGCTAAGTATATATAGCATGCTTAGTACGCTTGGCAGTCTTAGTGTGATATAACAGAATAAGAATTATTATAATAAGTTTTCAAAGAAGTTTAAGTATAAATAAAAGATACTAAAAAATTAGTACTATAATTAATTTAATACCTTAGCTAGTAACCTAAATACAGGGACAAGATCCTTTATACTAATACTAGATCCTATAATAAACTATAACGTGGTTCATAATCATCCCGCGCATA